TCTTGTGACTTGTGTTTTCTGACAATGTTTGTATACCTGTTGGGCTACGGCCTTTATTTGTTATTGTTGTTGTTCTTGTTATACATCATTAAATGGCTGACTTCGTACAAAACTGACCCATCCAGTCAGAGGAGGCGTGGTCACCAATTTACATAACTCAGTCTCTAGGCTAATGGACAAAGTTACCCCATGCTTGGATTCCCCTTGCAGCACACAAAGAAGGACCGTTCAGGTAAGACAACGGTCGATATCTTAAACTCATCACAGATGCTATTGACATCTACTGTGCCATAGAATCTCAAAAAGTAGGATAAAATATAAATGTTAAGATTCAGCTTCACATAAGGTTATATTCATTTACTCAAAACTTATGTTATTGTTTCATTCAGCCTCCTATAGTGCCGAAAGTATCAAATGATGGCGATACATCTAATTTCGAAGCTTACCCTGAAGATGACTGGAACAAAATACCACCAGTACCTCCTAAAGATTTAGAAATTTTCAAAAACTTCTAAATGTGTGATACATCAAATTATTAAGGTATTAGATACTAGTCTTCCAAAAGCATCATATTTATTAACCAGTGTATTTACAGTCTTAATGTTAAAATCTTTACATTGTTGCATGTAGTTAATTTATAAAATCACACATTGATATTTTAAAATTAAAAATAGAAGAAAATGCCTTAAGACTCCATGACTGCCTTTTAATAAAAATATAATATTAATATAATGTTCTGTAATTATTTTGGCAATTATGAAGACTACATAGATTTCTTGTATAGACACAATTGCAACTATTAGATGGCTTTTATTTTGCACTTTTATTGTATAAAAATAAGAATAACTCTTTGCACATGGCAATTAAGGACCTAAAATCTTATTTTCTGAATTTGAAGGAAAAAAGTTAAATATTTACGACAATGGAATACCAGTACATTGAATATTTATTTTTATCTGTTTGCTAGAAATTGAAAGAAGATTGGTGTGATAGGTGAAAACTGGAAAAGAAGAACGGAAAATACTTCCAAAACTATCTTGAAAATGAATATTACTGCATTATGCATAGATTTTTTTTAAAAAAAAGACATGTTAAAAGTTGAAAAAATAGATACTATTTGGTAGTATAGAATTGGCATCCATTCAGTTAAAAAGATACTGAAGCACCTACTCTGATGTGTAAGATACAGGGTTTCTAAATTTGAATTTAGTTTTGTTGTCTCCAAATTTTATTTGCATACTTATTTCATACCCTAGTTGTATAAGTTGATACTAAAATTGTCCTGTAAAGCACAACTTAGTGTATATTTATATAAAGAAAATCAGTAAATCTAAAGCACAGAAACTGTGCAGAAATGTAAATTTTTGTATTTTACAGAGTTTATGGTTTTTATTCTTAAATGTTTTCCAAGATGCTGCCTAGAAGTAAAACAAATCTTGAAATGATACATGTTTCAGCATCTTCTATACATTTTATAATTCTTTGTAAAAAGAAAAATACATATAAGTTTTGAGAAAATGGTAAAATTTCCAGTGCTTTACACCTCCAGCCATACATCTTGAAAGCTGAAAAATAAAAAAAACTTGCACAGCTTATTGTACTATTTCTCCTTTCAGTGTACATTATATTTTCTTTTAAAATTATGTTATAATGATGTGGGTATATATCTTAATTCTTCGTGATTACGTACTATAATGAAACTAGTATTATTAATGGGGTTAGATTCTGTTACCTTTTCAGGTACTTGAATGTCATCAAAACCAAGATCCATCTCTAAACACAGATGTATACTTGCAGGTCCATTATTGAATATTGCAAACTATAGTAGATAAAACAATTTAAAAGCCACAATTGAATGTACAATGTTACCTGGCATTATCTTTGATATGTTCTTTATATAAGTAGGTTTAACTCCACAATCAACTTAGTGTCCTTTACCATTCGTTGGCCCTCGGATATCTATATTGGCACTTGCCAAGCATCCTATCCACATTGAACATTTTAAAATTCTTTTAATTAAATGCCTATATACAGACCCATCACACATTTTTTTTTGGTTTAAGCAACTTTATCCAAAACTGCAGATAATGAGTGAGAAGTGGCAAGCAAAATAAATTAAAGGTATGAATTAAAATAAAATAAAAAATCTAAATTTATATTACATAGAAAGGAAACTGTTATGTTTTAAAGCAAAGTCCAAAATAATATTTACACCCAAGAGATGATACCTTTTGGTCGCATGTATACTTTACATCTGTAAGAATTCCTCGAATATAAAAATAGGTGGGATGGTGGTAGCCCAGTGTTTTATTTGGAAGTTTAACTACTTGCTCATTTATGAGGAAATTCTTATAAAAGTATGTCTCAAAAATGCAAAGAAGGCTTTTGCATCAAAAATCTTCTAACCTCTGTATGATCACATGAATTTTTGGCATGAACATCTGTGAACTCTTCTGAAATGGGATATTCTACTTTTTAAACCTCTATAAGTGAGAATAAATCATGCCATTTGTCCTACTAGGGGAAAAAAACCCAAATGTAGATATAAACTCCAGAGTAAGAGTATGTATTTATGAGATACTAATATTAAACCAAGAATTGTTGATTTGCATGGTTCAAAACTAATACTACTATTAGGGCTTAAGCTTACCCAGCTTCCATATGATCTACCTGAGTATGTTTAAAAGTTGTTTAATATCCTTATTACACTAGTCACTCTTCTTTCATTGCTTGATAACACATTGGTTGGTAGCCAAAACACTCCAAAAACCCTAGCTGCCACTTTTTGTGCACACTATGTTTTTAAAGTGCACTGTGAAAATATGAGGAGTAAGGAATGGTTATACAGGTACTTCTCATTTAGCAACAGCCTTGTTTATATACTATTCACAGTTGTGGTGTGATTTAACAATAGCTTTACAACTAATTTTCATATTTATGACATTTGCAGGTCTATAAAGCAAAGGGAAACTGAACTAAGATATGCATAGTTGAGATTTCACTTAGCAACTGCTTTGGTTAACAACCGAGTTACTTGTCCCTATTGTGGTTGCTAAACATGGACTACCTATAGTATCGTAATGGTCTTGTACATAGCAGTAGGAGCTTTCATTTACACAACTTCTTGTCATTTTCCCATTAGCAAATTAATTTATTCTAGTGGCTGGTTATGTTACTGATTCCTAATATATTTGTGTGTCTTAATGAGAAAGCTGAAGTGGATGAGCCAATAAGCAACAGAGTTGATGCATAAAGCCATTTTTTTCTCAATAATTTGGTCTTCAAGAAATTTTTATTTTATGAATTCAATTATCCATTTTAAAGGAATGCCAAATAGTGCTTACAATCAGTATCATCAATAGAACAGTGCACAACATTTGAAGATTATATCCTCAAACCACCAAAGAAGCTATTTTTCCAAAAACATGCTTCATGGGTGATTCAAGGACAGGGGTGTCAAACTCGATTTCATTGAGAGCCTCATCAGGATTGTGTTTAACCTTGGGGGTCTGGGGTGGACATGGCCAGGTGGGCATGGCCAACTCTATGTCACTTGTGTCGAGGGCGCCTGTGGTGGCCCTAGCGCTCTGGCAGTGTCAGCCTCTGCTTTGTTGTTGCTTCGACTGCCATGAAATGGGGAGGGAGGGCATGGTATTTGGGAGGGGTTACTCATTNAGGAAGATCTATTTACTCCCACTGCTGCAGGCCTAAGGCCTATGGAAGGCTATGACCAGGGCCTATCCCCAGACCTTTACCAGATGATATCTGCAGCTATCTCCAGGGGGGTAGATGCTGAACTGCTTCGAAGGAACCAGGCCCCGGTGGTTGTTAGCTCCCAGGGTGGGCCTCCTATCCCAGCTCCACAAATAGATCTTCCTGATCTGCAAGCAGGACCTTCTTCACCTCTCCCCTCTACTTATAGTGAGGATTCGGCCTTGGTGGAGGAAGGGGAGTTGTTAGATAGAGAATTCTCTGATGATGAGGGCCTGATCTTTGATCAGCCTAATTCCTCTGGCCTATTTAAGCCTACGCTATTCAAATCCTTGTTGTTTAAAGCTAAGACCACTACTCATATGGGAGAGGTGGCTCCCAAAGACAGTTCTGCTGTAGGCCTGGACACTACTGAGTGCCTCTTTGCTGAACCAGTCTTGTTGCAGGAAGTGATTCCTTCCCCAAAGCTTTTCATGGATATTATTCAGAAACAATGGGACCAACCAACTGCGATTAACCCGCCCAGTAATGGGGACAGGAAGCTATACACTTCCACCCCTGCCTTGGAAGGCATTTTACAATTCCCAACTGTGGATCAGTCAGTAGCCGCCCTAGCTTCACCTGCTCTGATTCCGTCTGAAATTTCTGAGGGTCTGAAGGCAGAGGACCGTAAAGCTGAGACAGTCATTCGTAAGACCCACCAGGCTACGGCCTGGGCCTTGCATGCTGCTACTGCGGCATCATTCTTTAATAGAACCTCTGTGCTCTGGCTTAAGCAGTTACAGGAGAGACTGGCCCCGGATGAGGTACGTCTTCACCAAGACGTTACCAAAATTATGGCTGCTTTAGAATTTTCGGCGGATGCCACGCTCAATGCTGCCAAGTTCGCTTCTCGAGCTGTAGTGTCCAATGTGGCATCTCGTCGCCTGTTGTGGCTCCGCCATTGGCAGGCTGATGTTAAGTCTAAATGGCACCTGGCATCCACACCCTTCAAGGGTGGTGTCTTATTTGGATCCGTTCTCGACCCCATACTCATAGAGACCAGGGACAAACGCAAGATTCTTCCCTCTTTGGGGGGGCCCAATACCAGAAGGCAGCAGCCATATAACAGATGCCAGTCCTTTCGGGGAGGCTACTCTGGATACACAGCGGCCCCCTTTGTTCCCCATTACAACAGGGGCTTTCACCAATCACAGGACCACGGCCAGGACCGTGCGGGGACCAGGGATAGGGGGCACCAGGCGCAATCCCACAACAGGAGGTCCTTTCGTGGCTCTGGGAACCGGTCCTTTCAGAGGTACCGGTGACTCCCAAGGGGAGGAGCCAGTGGGCGGGCATCTTCTGGCCTTCGCTCAACAGTGGGCGGAAACCACGTCCGACGCCTGGGCCCTTCAGGTGATGAGGCTGGGCCTCACCCTAGAATTTCTCTCCATCCCCCCGAGGCGGTTCATCAGGTGCCCCGTCCCCAGATGCTCAGTGAAGCGGCGCCTCATGGAAGCCGAAATACATCATCTCATCTCCATCAACACCATAGAACAGGTTCCCGAAGGGCAGGAAGGCCTAGGGTTTTACTCCATCCTATTTCTGGTACCCAAAAACTCAGGAGGATAGCGGGCCATTCTAGATCTGAAAAGACTCAATTGGTACATCAAGTATCAGAAGTTCAAGATGCAGTCCCTAAAGAGCATCCTGGCATCCATCCGCCAGGACGACATGATGACATCAGTCGACATCAAGGAGGCGTACCTTCATGTGCCCATTCATCCGGCACATCAGAGGATTCTTCGCTTCCATTTCACGGGCCATCATTTCCAGTACCGGGCCTTGCCTTTCGGACTTTCATCACCCACCCCCCCGCACCTTTACCAAGCTCCTCGCGGTGGTGGCGGCTTCACTTCGCTCGGTTCCGGTGAGAGTGAATTGTTATTTAGACGACATCTTGGTCCTGTCGCCATCCCGGGAGCAGGCCCTATGGGATCTTCAAGTAACAATGGACTCCTTGCGGAGGCACGGGTTCGTGCTGAACCTTCCCAAGAGTCATCTGCAGCCAACTACATCGCTGCTTCACTTAGGGACCGTCATCAACTCCGTCACATGCAAAGTTTTCCTGTCCCTGGAGAGGCGACAGAGCATCCAATGACTGGCATCCCAGGTGTCAGCCTTGCGGCTCGTGCCCCTGGCCCTACTCTCTCAGCTGTTAGGGAAGATGATTTCTTGCATCAATATCGTTCCCTGGGCCAGGTTTCACGCACGACCACTCCAATGGTTCCTGCTTCCCTATCAGAGATCCCACACCAGTCATTCACAACTCAAGGTCCATCTTCCACCCAAGCCCCTCAGATCCCTTCGGTGGTGGGCGTCTTCCAAGCTCCTCAAAGGGTGTCTGTTCAAGGAGCCGGAATGCATCCAGGTTATGATGGATGCCAGCCTATTCGGATGGGGCGGCCATGCCCTGAAACTGGTGGCGCAGGGTCGTTGGTCGAATCGGGAGCTGACCAACAGCATCAATTGGCTAGAGCTCCGGGCCATTCGACTGGCCCTGCAAGAATTCCAGGACATTGTGACTTACAACCATGTTCTGATCCTAACTGACAATGTGGCCTCCAAGGCACATGTCAACCGCCAAGGGGGCCTGCAGTCCAGGGCCCTCATGCTGGAGGCGGAGAAATTGCATCATTGGGCGGAGTCCAGACTGTTGTCCCTTTGAGCGGAACACATATCGGGCGACTCCAATGTCCAGGCAGATTGGCTGAGCAGAGCCACAGTGGATCATGCAGAGTGGCAGCTCCACCCCGACCTCTTCCAACAACTATCTCACCGGTTTGGCCATCCAGCAGTGGACTTGTTCGCGCAGCCCCACAATGCGCAGCTGCCCCATTTTTACTCCAGGTATGTGACTCCCAGGGCGGAGGGAGTGGATGCCTTGCGCAGCCCATGGCCGGCCGGCCTTCTTTACGCCTTCCTGCCGCTCCCAGTGCTTCCGGCGGTCATCCAGAAGATACTGATGGAACAAGCGGAGGTTCTCTTAGTGGCCCCAATGTAGCCC